CAAATGTGGCCTCAGACACTTGACTCTTACTAGCTGTATGACCTTGGGCAAGTCACCTAACCCTGATTGTCTCGCCAAAAAAAAAAAAGGAACAATTTTGAAAGATTTAGGTCTAATCAATGCATTGATCAACCTTGATATAAGAGGATCTGTGATAAAGCATGTGTAAGTAAAATTATTAAGTACTGAATTGCAAGAAAGATTATTTCATTGTTTGAATTCTAGCCTTACATGACAAAAAAACTAGATATGTATTGTGCGGGGATCTGACTACTTTAACGTTTAACTTGAGACCCTTTGTTATATCAACCCCAGAAAACTTCATTGATGTTTGCCTGAGAAGTATATTTTAATTTATCTTTGTGCTTTATCTGGAAAACTTATTATATGTTAACCAATCAGCTACTGTTTCTTTGCTCTTTTGTTTGAATCCTATATAATGTGCAATTTTTAGAGGCTGAGGGGAGCAAATCACCAATGCACTATCTATCTTCTGACAGAGAGGTGATAGATTCAATATGCAGAATGAGTCACTTTTAGGGGTATGGCCAATCTGGAAAAAAAATTTTTTTGCTTGATTATGCTTATTAGTTAAAAGGGTTTTCTTTTTCTTTTTTTTTTCCTAGTGGGAGGAAGGGAAGGTGGGAAAGTACAAAAAAAATTGATTGATTTTTAATACTAAATTTTAGCTACCCCTTTCCCCAAAAGGCTTTCCATGCAAATAATTGAAGGCACTGGAGAAACTTACCCTCCTGAATAATAAAAGATGAGATAGAGGGTGTATTTTCCATGAGTTGGATGTGAGGGTTGGAGCAGCTATCTCAGAAACAGCAAAGATACTGGGTCTTCCATATACCCCCAGCCCTCAGCAATGTGCCTAGTACATACTAGGTACATAATAAATACTTAATTGAAGATGATGTACTTGGAGTAGTTTTCCTCATAGTGGAGAAGGGTTTGCCCTGAACTTTCTCATACCTTCTCACCCAGTCATCCTTGTGATAACAGTACATTCCTCTGTGATACCATCCCTTAACACTAGGGTATAATCTGTCTGCAGGAAGTCTGAATTGATAGGAGTTTCAGCTTCATGTTCTCATCAAATGAGTTCCCAGGCATTGATTAACTATGACCTCTTTAGTATTTGATCTAAACCAACAAATTATGGTTTCCTGAAGCAGCTTGATTCTGGATTTCTAGTGAGCTATCTCAAGGTCCAGGGCTGAAGAATTACTTTGAACAAAGCCTTAGTGCTGGGTCCCTTCCCCTAGGAATCCTCCCTTGCAGGTACTGAGGATCATGGCTAAGACCATACTAGCCACACTCTCAATTTGGCCCAGCCCATTTCTCTGACCAATTCCACACAGAAAGAGAAAGTCTACACCCATTTACCTTATTTCAGCTAAAACCAGATTCTCATAATTTCTCCACATTGCTTTCACATTTTTTCACTAAAGACCACTCCTCTCATTTCCCCTGATTCACAGAGCCAAAAGGGGTTGTGATCAGACTCTTTCACCAAAAATTCCTTCCAGAACATTCCTTTACTGCCATCCCCCAATGACCTTTTCTATGTTGAAATTTGCAATTTATTTATTCCATCTTTTCCTCCCACATGTTTACAGTAAGTAATCTTCCTCCAGGTGTTCTTTCAAGTTGCTCCATAACTTCAGGATTTTATCTGTCTCACGGTCGTATTCTCCAGCTTATCACAGACTCTCAAAGATGGATCAAACACTTACCCAAACAGGAATCCCCTCCATACCATCTCCATGAAGTGGCCAGCTAGACCCTGCTAGATGTAGGGAAACCTGCCAAGATAGCCCATTCTACTCATGGACAGCTTTGATCACTATAAAGTTTTTTCTTACGTAGGGCTTCAGTCTGCCTCTGCACAAATCTAACTTCTTGTGTCTAGTTTTTCTTGCTGGAACTGAGCATAAAGAGTCTAATCCATATGGCAACCTTCCAAATACTTGAAGATAGCTGTCATGACATCTCTAAATCTCTTCTCCGGGCTAAACAACCACAATTCCTTCGACCAATTCAGGTCAATTCAATAAGCATTTATTAAGAGTTTTCAGTGCTCTCACTATGCTAATTCCCTTCCTCTGTATATGCTTGTCAATATGCTTCCTAAAATGGTTTGCTCAGAACTGAATGTGGTGTTCCGGATGTGATCAAACCAAGGCACTCCCAATCCATCCTTCTAACTAGTCTCAGAATAATCTTTCTTTTGCAGAAACCCCATTGTGTCATACCTCTGTTCAAAACTGTTCAGTTGTACATCCCTTTTGTTTACTGAGTAAAGTTCGCACTCCAGATATTGATATTTAAAGCCTTCCAGAATTTGGCCCCATGCAGAATCTCCAACTGTATCTTATTCAGGTGTCCCAAGAGCAGTTTAAAGCTTAATAGCTTAAAATTACTTAAATTTAATAGAGGGGCTATTCATTGCATTATTACATGCCCTTCCCCTCTACCCCCATCTACACACACACACCACACACACACACACACACACACACACCACCAAATACACTGTATACTAGCTTAACTGCAATACCTGCATACACCTTCCTACCTTCGTCCCTTTACTCATACTGCTTCTGTCCCCAGAACATCCTCCTCACCCTTCTTCACCTCTTGCATTTGTTCTCATCCTTTAAAGCATAATTTGAAGGCCAGCTCTGATGAAACTTCTTCTATCTCTGGGCAGTAATGCTCTTTCCCCTCTGACCTTGTACCACATCTTATTTTGCAACTCCTTCATACATTTATTGTGTAGTATTATTTATTGTACAGTATAATTGTGTTTGAATTATATTAATATTGATCCATCTTTCCAACTTTTGGACTGTAAGCTACAGTTTCTTGTTAAAATATTGCCTCTCCTCCAGTGCCTAGTACTGTGCACATAGAAGGAACTAAGTGTTTATTAGATATTGAAAGAGTACATTTTTGAATGTTTTCAAGATGAGTCTCAAAGTTGGACCTGGATCTCTTCCTCCTGAGGAGAGGAAGCTGGTAGAACCAAACCCTAGATTCTCCCAGGGACAGGAAATGCCTTTGTATTTCCAAAGCATTGTGAGAGGAAAGAAAGCCACATGGGGTTCCAAAGGCAGAGAAAGTTGGGGGTGGGAATGTGAGGGGGGCCAGGGCAGATTGAATGTAAGGGTATGAGAGTAAGCTGAGGGGAGACAGGAGCAAAGAAAGAGATAAAGGAATGAGGTATTATTATCATCACCACAGTGCATTTGCTAAGACTTAATATTTGCCTGCCTAAGTACTGGTGATACAAAGAAAGTTAAATGCAGTCTCTGCCCTCCAACAGTTCATATTCTAATGGGGGAAACAACATGTAAGCAACTATATACATATATACATATAAGATACAAGATGGCAATAGGAAGTGATCTCAGAGACAAGGCACTAGCAAGGGGGAGGGGCAGAACCCTGAAAAAGGCTTCTTGCAGAAGATTCAGAAAGAGGGAGATGGGGGGTGGGGGTGGGGAAGCTTTCCAGTCATGAGGAATAGCCATTTCCTAAAGGGTTTGCAAGAGACAGGTGGAGGGAAAATTGGGGGGAGGGGGGAGGGGACCCTAACTCTGTTGCCAGATTCATTGAAAGAAGAAAAATCAAGGGATCTTTTAATTCAATATTCTCATTTCAAAGATGAGAAAATTGAGGTGAATAACATAAATGTGTCCAAGGATTCTAGCCATACATGGAAGGGATCCATTTTGTCCACAGTTATATTTGCCATACCTTCTGTATGGCCCTGCCCTTCGAATGTGGGATACTAAAGGAATTCCTTATATCCTAAGGTTGGGAGGGACCATGTTATCCAACCCCCTACTCCTTGGCAAGGATCCCTCTCACCTCATCCAATACATCTATCTCCAAAAATTTTCAAGAAAAGTGATCGATAGTATAATATCCCTTGGTCACCCATTTCAATGACGGTACCCTTTATTTTGAGGAAATTCTTTCTGGTATCCAACTTCAGCCTTTCCTAAAATAATCTAAATGTCTTAGTTGGAAATGACAGGAATCTTGGATTTGGGCAGAATTCTGGAAGGGTAATTAATCTGCCTCCAAGCAGACCTAGATGGAAATTCTAGTGGAATTTTTAGTCCCTCCATATTGTGAATCTCTTCCCACACCTGAGGACCATTAACCTAAATCCAGAAGTTGGTTCTCATCTTGTGCCTGCTTGTAATTGCACGGACAAGCCCACGGGGCTGAGATCAGGTTTATCAGAGTCAGTACGGGATAGTGGTAGAAACATAGACTAAGCCTCAGGAAATGAGTTCTGCTTTCTGGCCCTGTTGCTAACTCTTCTAACACAAAAACTATGCTTATCATAGGATCTGGAGCTAGAAGGGACCTGGTTCAATCATTCAGTCATGTCCAACTCTTTGTGACTCCATGGGCCACAGCACGCCAGTATGATCCATGGGGTTTTCTTGGCAAAGATACTGACGTGATTTACCATTTCTTTCTCCAGTGGATTAAGACAAATAGGGTTAAGTAACTTGTCCAGGGCCACACAGCTAGTAAGTTTCTCAGGCCAGATTTGAACTCAGGTCTTCCTAACTCCAGGCCCAGCTCTCTATCCACTAAGCCACATTCCTAACTGTCTCCAGAAGGATCCTTAGAGGTCATATAAGGACCCTTAACTTTATAAGATGAGGAAACTGAGGCTCAGACAGATTCAGTGACTTGCCTAAGTCATTTGCTCAAGATAGCAGAGCTGGGATTTGTACTCAGCTTCTGCAAACTGCAGTAAAATCTGATTTTCATGCTCACAGCCCATAACTTTCATTTTCCAGCTAACAATATGCCTAACAAAAACAGATGCACTGTTTGCAATGTCAGGCAATAAAAACCTGATCTTGACTGTTCAAATTCAAAAGCTCTCATGGGTCATCTAAATTATTTTTAATCCAGAATGTAATTCTCTCTCTCTCTCTCTCTCTTTTTTTTTTTTAAAAAAGCATTTCCATGTTTGCTTGGAGTCAAGGCTCTGGCCCATCAAAGATGAAAAATGGAGGCAAAATGGAGGTAAGAGCTAGGTGAGATGACAGAAAGGTCACATTTATTATCAAAGAGCAAAGTTGTTTGCATTAAAGTCTCAACTGGACTTTATTCTTTCCATACCCACTACTGAAAACCAGAATCATGTCAGAGTTGCAAAAACATGATAGAAACATTTTACAATCCTGTCATCCAACTTCCAGCTTGCCTTTCCATTTAAAATATCTCATGAAGTTCATTGTGAAGTGGGACATCACTGTTGGTGCTAGACAAGTCACTCGAAATCTAGGCTGGGTTGGCCATCCACAGATATCAGTGTCTTAGCTAGATGAATGGCTTGGTGGGGCTTGCTCCTCAGGAGCATGCAGTCTCTGTTGGATGATCAATACATTGCTGGATGGGGCCATGCAGGTTGCTAGGCCAATGGGTTGGCTCCTCACAAGGCCCAACATCTCCAGTGGCCATTTCTCTTAGGGATTTAAAGCACTTTTTAGTTAGCAGATGATTGTGCACTCAATGTAGCCTCTGAGGCTGAGATGCAGCAAAGCATGGATTGATTCTCTGCCACTAGTGCTAATTTTCATCTAATAATTAACACCAAGAAAACAGAGGTTCTCCATCAGCTAACACTGCACCATCCATACATGGGACTGTTGGTTACAGCTAATAGAGAAATTTTGGGTTCTTTGGATGAGTTCAGTTATCTTGGCAGTATATTTTCCAGGAATGTACACATAGATGATGAGGTTGATGCATGCATTGCCAGAGGTAGCCCAGTGTTTGGGAGGCTCTGAAGGAAAATGTGAGAGAGAAGAGGTATTAGCCTGCCTGCTAAACTGAATGTCTACAGAACCATCGTGCTGACCTCATTGTTGTATACCTGTGAAACCCGGACAGTCTAACAGTCATGCCAGGAAACTGAATCTCTTCCATTTGAATTGTTTTAGGAAGATCCTGAAGATCACCTGGCAAGATAAGGTATGGGACCCTGAGGTCCTTTCTTGAGCTAAACTGCCAAGAATTCAAATTTTATTGCACAGAGTGCAACTCCAATAGGCTGACAATTTTGTTTGAATTCCAAATGTATGCCTTCCTAAAAGACTATTTATTTTATGGAGAACTCACACAAGGCAGGTACTCACGTGATAGTCAGAAGAAGCAATACAAAGACACTGTCAAGGTCTCTCTGAAGAACTTTGGGATATGGGAGATAAAGGCACAGCATCATCCAACATGGCATGCCCTCATCAAAGAAGGCACTGTGCTCTTTTAGCAAAGCAGAATTGCAGTAGCTCAAAAGAAATGTGAGATGTGCAAATTTAGGGACATCTCCACTCAAATGTTTATTATGGACTATTTGTGCCCGACCTGTGGTAGAGACTTCCAAGCTCACATGGTCTGATCAGCCACAGCCCGACAAGGTTTACATTGACCCCATTTTGGTCATCAGCAGGATGGACAAACAAAATTCAAAGCCGAATCCAGCTAATTTTCCATGGTAATTTTATTACTTTCCCTCAGGTATAGTCCCCCACTCCTCCTTTGCATAAGCCATTCCACATTCCTAGAATGCTTTTCCTCTAGAAAAGCATTATGACAACCCAGCTGAAAGAAAATAGTCAAACCAGCAGAGCCTAAGACTGAAGGTACTGAATCTTTCAGTTGCTCATTGTTGTTACAACTCTCTTTTCTGGAATGCTATAGTGTTCCCAACACTCTGATCTCAGAAAAGTGAGAAATTGAATAGCTAGGAATGATAGGAGTCTCTGCAGTTGTACTCTCAGGACCTCAGCATTAAGGCTTGTCACTTCCTTTGGCAGAGGGTGAGAGAGGTATAGCTTCTCCTGTTTAATTATTCTTCCTGATTCAGAGTTGGTTTCCCTCACTTACTTATGGTGACGACCCTAGTACTTTTCCCAAACTTCTTACAAAAATGAAGGTCTAGAGGCAACCATACTGAGGCAGTCTGTATTCTGAGGGCAAGATCATTGTCTCTGCTGACTTTTTCATCTGAAACTCAGTTTCTGGAAGCCCTAGAATCCTTTCCAAGGTGTGGAATGCCTTGATTTACAACTGAAAGGACTTCCCTTATATTTCACTGTCATTTTCCCTTTCAACCTTCAACTTTACTGATATCTAAATGGTAAATACCCTTACACATGTGCATAATCAAAAAGGTTTGGAGACCACTGGTATAGAGGACAGATTGGAAAGAAGAGATTGGATACAAAAAAACCAGTTAGAAAGTTATGACAACATTCCAAATTATAGGTAATGAGGGCCTAGACTAGGGTGGTTGCAGTATGAGTGGAGAGGAGACAGATATGAGAGATATTGAGGAGGTTAAATCAATAAGACTTGGCAACTGGGAAGAGGTATAAGACTAGAGAGTGAGGAATTGAGTTTCAACCCTGGAGTGATAGAATCCTAGCCACTGTTCCTAGCTAGCCACTGCCCTCAGACCTGATATCCCAACTTCCTTATATGCCTCACTGCCTCACTACGACGGCAGGTGTGCCCATGGTCTCAACCACATTATCCATCCAGTCTCAGACAGGACCACAATAGCTAGCCAATTAGAAAGCAGCACCTGTACGATACGGAGCAGGATGCTTGACCGCAAAAACCACAAAGGTACTTTCCCTAAGTGGACACCTGTGCAGGAATAGCATAAGCTGTCCTTTACGTGAACTTATGAAGTAGAGAGGCTTATTGTAATACCATTATCATACACTAATACCCCCTCAGCGGGCTTTTCTGTATGCATTCTGGGAAGCCACGTCAAAGTTCCACCAAAATGAGGACCCCTCCTCATATTAGCAGCCCCCTCCTATATTTTAATATTCATATGCTCTGTTTTAATATCCGTGTGTTCTGTTATGTAATCAGCATCATTTGCTCTACAAGAATCCTGTCTTGCTTTGCTAGTTGCTAGTTCCTCTCAGGAGCCTAGCCACTTTCTGAGAGCATAGTCTTCAATAAATGCCTTTACTTGGTTTGAAGATGGTGTGAACCTATGAATTCTTTCAAGACGATCCTGTAACACATACCTGCCAACCTTAGCATGGGAGACTAGAGGAATTGTAGAAATAGGGAAGTTAAGAGGAGAAATAGGTATGGGAAGAAATGTTAGGAATTCTGCTTGGGATATATTGAGTTTGAGTTGAGTATGGGCAGCTAGGTGGCTCAGGGGATAAAGTGCTGGATCTGGAGTCAAACACTTACTAGCTCTATGACCCTGGGCAAGTCACTTAACCTCTATTTTTTTCTTAAGAAGGTTACATTCTAATAAGGGAATTCAACACATAAAGAGGAACTTGAAAGATGGAGTGGGGAGAAAGGACAGAGCAAGGAAGCTGAGGAACAGGGGAAAAGGGCAGTCCCAGCCAGCACTTGAAATCAAGAGATTGTGCTCTGGGTCTGAGGCATCTGGAATGGGGAGGGATGGAGGAAGAAGACTGCTCTTGAAGAGGTAGAGCAGTCTGGAGAATGACTTGTCTTATTCCCTAAAGTCTTGCCTGTGAAACTTCTCCTCCGTAGGAAGAAATTGCTGATCCCTGGTGCCAAGCTCTTAACACTCCTAACTAAGGTTCTAATGTCCTAAAGCTCAACACTTTTAAATCTTTAGACTCAACTTTCTGGTCATTGAGCTTGGGGTCTACAGGAGACCTTACTCTCATTTATGAGGCTCCTTCTGTATGCCTCATGATTTTTAATCTTCGAAAGCTAACCAATAACTGGTCATTCATTACCTATGTAAGACTATACACTCAATAACTACCAAGTACCTGGCTAAGAAATAGAGTGGTGGATCAGTGGAATAGGTTAAGTGTGCAAGACACAGTAGTCAATGACTATAGTAATCTATTATTCAATAAACCCAAAGACCCCAGCTTCTGGGATAAGAACCCACTCTTGGACAAAAACTGCTGGGAAAACTGAAAAAGAGTATGGCAGAAACTAGGCATAGATCAAAATCTCATACCGTATACCAAAATAAAGTCAAAATGGGTTCATGACTTAGATATAAAGGCTGATACTGTAAGCAAACTGGGAGTGCAAGGAATAGTTTACCTATCAGATTTATGGAGAACAGAAGAATTCATGACCAAACAGGAGATACAGAACATTACAAAAAAGCAAAATAGATAACTTTGATTACATTAAATTGAAAAGTTTTTGCACAAAGCCAATGCAACCAAGATTAGAAGGAAGGTAGAAAATTGGGAAAGAATTTTTACAACCAGTCTCTCTGATAAGGGTCTCATTTCTAAAATATATAGAAAATTAAGTCAAATTTATAAGAATGCAAGTCATTCTCAAATTGATAAATGGTCAAAAAATATGAACAACCAGTTCTCAGATGAAGAAATTAAAGCCATCTATGGTCATATGAAAAAATGCTCTAAGTCACTATTAGAGAAATGCAAATTGAAACAACTCTGAGGTACCACATCACACCTATTAGATTGACTGAGATGACAAAACAAGAAAATGATAAATGTTGGAGAAGATGTGGGAAAATTGGAACACTGATACATTGTTGGTGGAGTTGTGAAATGATCCAACCATTTTGGAGAGCGATTTGGAACTATGCCCAAAGGGCTATAAAAATGTGCATATAAAAATGACCCAACAATAGCGCTTCTAGGGCTATATCCCAAAGAGATCATAGAAATGGGAAAAAGATCCACATATACAAAAATATTTGTAGCAGCTCTTTTTGTGGTGACAAAGAATTGGAAATTGAGAGGATGCCCATCAACTGGGGAATGGCTGAACAAGTTGTGGTATATGAATGTAATGAAATACTATTGTGCTATAAAAAATGATGAACAGGCCGATTTCAGAAAAACCTGGAATGACTTGTATGGTCTGATGCTGAGTGAAAAAGTGAGCAGAACCAGAAGAACATTGTATACAATAACAGCCATGTTGTACAAGGACTAATACTGATAAACTTAACCCTTCTCAGCAATACAAGGATCTAAGATATCTACAAAGTCCTCGTGATGGAAAATGCTATCCAAAGAAAGAACGATGGAGTTTGAATGCAGATTAAAGCATACTATTTGCTGGTTTTTTTTCTTCTGTTAAGTTTAGTTTCCTCTTTCTGGTGGTTCCTCCTATTGGTTCTAATTCTTACAACATCACTAATGTGAAAATATGTTTAATAGGAATG